CCCCCGAACCCCCCTGAGCGCTTCCCCATCCCAGAACTCCGCAATTCCCGCTTTTCCCCGAATCCCACCCTGGGGGCTGTGACACCATCAATGACGTCATCAATGACGTCATTGATGGCGTCACTGATGACGTCACCGCCCGCAGCGGCCGGGCTGTATTACCTGGCGGAGCTGATCGAGGAGTTCACCGTGCTCACCAAGAGGATCATCAAGTACATGATCTGGGTGAGTGAAACCGGGAATTCCCACCGGGAATTCCAACCGGGAAATTCCCAACCGGGAAATTCCCAAACCGGGAAATTCCCAAACCACGAAATCCCAACCGGGAAATTCCCAACTGCAAATCCCAACTGTGAAATTCCCAACCGGAAACTCCCAACCAGGAAATCCCCAACTGGGAAATTCCCAACCGGAAAATCCGAACCGGAAACTCCCAACCAGGAAATCCCAATGGGAAATTCCCAACCGGGAAATCCCAACCATGAAATTCCCAACTGGGAAATTCCCAACCGGAAAATCCCAAACCGGGAATTCCCAACTGTGAATCCCAACAGGGAAATCCCAACCGGGAAATTCCCAACTGGAAATTCCCAAACCGGAAATTCCCAAACCGGGAAATTCCCAACCGGGAATTCCAACCTCGAAATTCCCAACCGCGAAATCCCAACCGGGAAATCCCAACTGGGAATTCCCAAACCGGGAAATCCCAAACAGGGAAATCCCAACTGCGAATCTCAACTGGGAATTCCCAACCGCGAAATCCCAACCCGGAAATCCCAAACCGGGAAATCCCAACTGCGAATCTCAACAGGAAAATTCCAACTGGAAATTCCCAACTGTGAAATTCCCAACTGCGAATCCCAACCAGAAATTCCCAACTGGAAAATTCCCAACCGGGAAATTCCAACCATGAAATTCCCAACCAGGAAATTCCCAATGGGAAATTCCCAACCAGGAAATTCCCAACTGCAAATCCCAACTGGAAATTCCCAACCAGGAAATCCCAACCGGGAAATCCCAACTGGAAATTCCCAACCGGAAACTTCCAACCAGGAAATCCCAATGGGAAATTCCCAACCGGAAAATCCCAACCGGGAATTCCCAAGCCGGAAATTCCCAACTGCGAATCCCAAACCGGGAAATCCCAACTGGAAATTCCCAACCGGGAAATCCCAAACTGGGAAATCCCAACCATGAAATTCCCAACCAGGAAATTCCCAACCAGGAAATTCCCAACTGCAAATCCCAACCGGAAAATCCCAACCAGGAATTCCCAACCAGGAAATTCCCAACTGGGAAATTCCCAACTGCGAATCCCAAACTGGGAAATTCCCAACTGGGAAATTCCCAACCGGGAAAACCCAAACCAGGAAATCCCAACCGCAAATCCCAACCAGGAAATTCCCGGGAATTCCGCCCTCTTCCCCTCCCCCCTCCCCCCACTTTGGGAATCCTCAGATTCCCGGCCGGACCCCGGCGGGAATCGTCGATTCCGTCCGTGCCAGGCTGAGTTTTCTCTTGGAATTCCATCCCGGATTTCTTTTTTTTCCGTGGGTATTCCCAGTTTTCCTCGGCGGTGCTGGTGGGGCTGTACCTGTTCGAGCGATTCCCGGCGTTCCTGGTGGGAATGGGGCTCTTCACCAACCTCGTCTACTTCGGATTGCTCCGGACTTTTCCCTTCATCGTCCTCACCTCCTCCAACTTCATCCTGTCCTGCGGTCAGGGATCCCAGCCGGGGATTTGGGAATTCTGGGGATCAGGAAAGGGCTCGGAATGGCTCCAGAAATTTGGGATTCCCTGGGGATTCCCAAGGGCTCCGAGTGGTCCTGAAATTTGGGATCGTTGGATGCCCGGTCCAGGGGTTGGGGGTTCCTGGGTGTCCCGGAAATTTGGGATTTTGGGGTTCTCCAATGGGTCGGAACATCCCAGAAATTTGGGATTCCAGGAGGTCCCCAAAAGCTCAGAAAATTCCAGGAATTTGGGATCCTTGGGCACCCCAAAAATTCCGGGAATTCCAAGGAATTGGGGATTCCTGAGTGTCCCAGAAATTTGGGATTCCAGGAGATTCCCAAGGGCTCGGAGTGGTCCTGAAATTTGGGATCCTTGGATACCCAGTCCAGGGGTTGGGGGTTCCTGGGTGTCCTGGAAATTCGGGATTTTGGGACTTCCCAAAGCCCAGAAAATCCCAGAAATTTGGGATTCCAGGAGATTCCCAAGGTCTCGGAGTGTCCCAGAAATTTGGGATTTTGGGACTTCCCAAAACTCAGAGAATTCCAGGAATTCGGGGTCCTTGGACACCCCAAAAATTCCGGGAATTCCAAGGAATTGGGGATTCCTGAGTGTCCCAGAAATTTGGGGATCTTTGGGGTTCTCCAATGGGTCAGAACATCCCAGAAATTTGGGATTCCAGGAGATTCCCAAGGGCTCGGAGTGGTCCTGAAATTTGGGATCCTTGGATACCCAGTCCAGGGGTTGGGGGTTCCTGGGTGTCCTGGAAATTCGGGATTTTGGGACTTCCCAAAGCCCAGAGAATCCCAGAAATTTGGGATTCCCTGGGGATTCCCAAGGGCTCGGGGTGTCCCAGAAATTTGGGATCCTTGGATACCCCAAAAGGTCCAGAGAATTCCAGGGGTTGGGGGTTCCTGGGTGTCCCAGAAATTTGGGATTTTGGGACTTCCCAAAGCTCAGAAAATTCCAGAAATTTGGGATTGCTGGGGGTCCTCAAAGGCTCGGAAAATTCCGGGAATTTGGGATCCTTGGACACCCCAAAAATTCCAGGAATTCCTAGGAATTGGGGGTTTCTGAGTGTCCCAGAAATTTGGGATTCCTGGAAATTCCCAAGGTCTCAGAGTGTCCCAGAAATTTGGGATTTTGGGACTTCCCAAAGCTCAGAAAATTCCAGGAATTTGGGATCCTTGGATACCCCAAGAGGTCCAGGGAATTCCAGAGGTTGGGGGTTCCTGGGTGTCCCAGAAATTTGGGATTTTGGGACTTCCCAAAGCTCAGAGAATTCCAGGAATTCGGGGTCCTTGGGCGCCCCAAAAATTCCGGGAATTCCAAAGAATTGGGGCTTCCTGAGTGTCCCAGAAATTTGGGGATCTTTGGGGTTCTCCAATGGGTCGGAACATCCCAGAAATTTGGGATTCCAGGAGGTCCCCAAAAGCTCAGAAAATTCCAGGAATTTGGGATCCTTGGGCACCCCAAAAATTCCGGGAATTCCAAGGAATTGGGGGTTCCTGAGTGTCCCAGAAATTTGGGATTTTGGGGTTCTCCAATGGGTCGGAACATCCCAGAAATTTGGGATTGCTGGGGGTCCTCAAAGGCTCGGAAAATTCCGGGAATTTGGGATCCTTGGACACCCCAAAATTCCGGGAATTCCAAGGAATTGGGGGTTCCTGAGTGTCCCAGAAATTTGGGATTTTGAGGATTTCCCAAAGACTCAGAAAATCCCCAAAATTTTGGGATCTCCGGGTTCTCCCGAGCCCTCCGAAAACCCCCCCAAAAAATCCAAGATTTTCCCAAACCCTCTGGAAAAAAAAAATTTAAAAAAATCCAAGAAACGAAAAAATCCCAAAATTCCGGGCTTTGGGAATGGGGGGGAGGGCTCCAAAATTCGGGAATTTCCCTTTGGAATGTGCTGATCCCGCTGTTTTTCCCTGTTTTTCCCGGCAGTGCTGGTCGTGGTCAATCACTACCTGGCATTCCAATATTTTGCCGAGGAATTTTATCTCTTCTCCGAGGTGAGATCCCGTCGGGAAGCAAAATCACTGGGATTTTCCAAGGAAAAAATGGAAAATCCCAAATTTTTTTGGGTTAAAATATCAAAATCCCAGGATTTTCCAGGAAAAAAATGGAAAATCCGAAATTATTTGGGGTTAAAATATCAAAATATTTTTTCCTGGGAAAAAATGGAAAATCCCAAATTTTTGGGGGTTAAAATATCAAAATATTTTTTCCAGGGAAAAAATGGAAAATCCCCAATTTTTTGGGTTAAAATATGAAAATCCTGGGATTTTCCAGGGAAAAAATGGAAAATCCCAAATTTTTTGGGTTAAAATATCAAAATCCCAGGATTTTCCAGGAAAAAAATGGAAAATCCGAAATTATTTGGGGTTAAAATATCAAAATATTTTTTCCTGGGAAAAAATGGAAAATCCCAAATTTTTGGGGGTTAAAATATCAAAATATTTTTTCCAGGGAAAAAATGGAAAATCCCCAATTTTTTGGGTTAAAATATCAAAATCCTGGGATTTTCCTGGGAAAAAATGGAAAATCCCAAATTTTTGGGGTAAAAATATCAAAATCCCAGGATTTTCCTGGGAAAAAATGGAAAATCCCAAATTTTTTGGGTTAAAATATCAAAATCCCGGGATTTTAAGGTTTTTTTTTTCCCAATTTTTACTTTTTTCGGGATTTTCCTGAGTTTTTAAAATTCCTGGGAATTCGCAGGTTTGGGGTTTTCCCGAGAAATTCCGGGAATGTGGAAAATTCATTTCGGTTTATCCCTAAAAATTGGGGAATTCGCGTGGTTCAAATTCCGGGTTTTTCCCGTTGGGAATTCCCGTTCCTGGTTTTTCTGGAATTCCATGGGGAAAATCCCAATTCCCTAAAAATGGAGGAAAAATCCCCGTTTTTCCCATGAAATTGTTTTGGGGGAGATTTCATGGAATTCAAATTTTCCGGCTGGAATTTTTGGGAATTCCGGCTGGAATTGTTGGGAATTCTGGCTGGAATTGTTGGGAATTCTGGCTGGAATTTTTTGGGAATTCTGGCTGGAATTGTTGGGAATTCTGAGTGGAATTGTTGGGAATTCCAGCTGGATTTTTTTTTTAATTCCAGCTGGAATTTTTGGGGAATTCTGTTTGGATTTTTTTGGGAATTCCGGCTGGAATTGTTGCGAATTCTGGTTGGAATTTTTTGGGAATTCCGGCTGGAATTGTTGGGAATTCTGGCTGGAATTGTTGGGAATTCTGGCTGGAATTGTTGGGAATTCTGGCTGGAATTTTTTGTGAATTCCGGCTGGAATTTGTTGGAAATTCTGTCCGGAATTTTTTGGGAATTCCAGCTGGAATTTTTTGGGAATTCTGGTTGGATTTTTTGGGAATTCCAGCTGGAACTTTTTGGGAATTCTGGCTGGAATTGTTGGGAATTCCGGCTGGAATTTTTTGTGAATTCCGGCTGGGATTTTTTGGGAATTCCGGCTGGGATTTTGTTGGGAATTCCGCAGGTTCTGGCGTATTTCACCTTCTGCCTGTGGCTGATTCCCTTCGCCTTCTTCGTGTCGCTGTCGGCCGGGGAGAAC